TGAAATCTGTTACTACAACTAATCCCTTACAGAGAAAAGAAAACATGGAAAACAAACTGGCGCTGGCTGGTTCTACTATGCTTTTTTCTTTTTTCTTTTTTTTTTTTTTTGTAGAGAAACTGTGAGATGCATATACATGGGAGAGGAACAGAGGAGGTATTCAGTGGAGAATGCCAGAAGGCATGGACTCCTTTTGGTAGGCAAGGCTGTTGGCTTTAATTGTATATATTGTCTTGGATTCTCACCTTCAGAAAAAATGCCAGTTTGATCTCACACGGTTTTCACTACCCATATTTACATCCTATTGCCTGAGGCCCAGGGAAGGCAAACAACAGACATTTTCCTTTCAGTCAATTTGTAGCTGAAAATCTATATGGCTTAAAAGACTTAAGTAAAAGATCTAAATTTATCCTTGAAAATTTTTAAGAAGCAAAAAAATCAGGTGATCTGACCTATAGCATTGCCCCTAAAAAAGCCTCAAAACCAAAACTGTTTTCTATTCTAGATGAAGTTCTGAAACACAAAAATATTAAAGAATTAAGAATTTGGTATATAGCTGGGAAGTCCCACACATGATCCTCACTTCCCTGTGAAGTAAACCACTAAATTAATTAGGCATTGCTACACAGCAATTTTATCTGAAATACACAGCTCTCTTTTCCAGCCCCCTGAAAATACACAAGCCTGAAAAAGAAGCACAGATAGGAACCAATCCACTTCAAGGGAAACCCAAACAGCATGGGGCAGATCCTTAGTGGAGTAAAAGATCTGCACTGAAGTAGATGGGACAGGAATAGTTTATGCCAGCCAGGAATCTGCTCTGCATCTGCAGACCAATTTATGAAAAAAAGGTGATACACCATACATGGACCAGATGCACTAATGTAGTATAAGGCAAAAACAAGCTCTGCTGGGGATGTTCCAACATTTCACACAAGATTTCACAGTGTACAAAAATTACTTCATGTGAATGAAAATCTTTTTTAACTGCTACCACACTGCACGGTTTGAAAGTGCTACTGTGGACAAGGTTTTCAAAGGCCACCCAACATGCAATGCTCAACTATATCTTCTTCACAGGGTGGCATATGAATAGCACATTTCAGTTTTAACAGACTGAAAAATCATTACCACAGAAATAAGGCTGAGACCTCAGAGCAGTTTTCTCAATAAATACATTCCTTGACAATCATTATTTTTGTTCAAAAGATACATTTTGCTTTTGAGATAAGATCTTTTGTGATATCACAGCAATTAACAAAGGACAATCCGCAATTTTTTCTTTTAGGAATGTCGGTATCTTCTTATGTTTGTAATAAACAATAACGTTAAACTAATTAAATTCAAATAACTAATTCTCTTAAACTACCTGAGGAGAGGGGGAGTTGTGAACTTCTGACAAATGTGAAAAGTCCTCAGCAAGTAATGTGGTGAATGTGATGAACCTCTATCTAATAACTAAAATGCTGTTTGCAAAGCATTTTTTCAGAGGTGTTCAATCTCTCCAAAAGTGATCTGAAACAAATGAGAGAAAAAGATTTCACCAGAAGCAACAGACACAGTTAAAGGCACAGATAACAAAGCTGATGAAATCAGAAGTAAAGTTGATTTCTTTATATACATTCTAAGAAAAGAGATAAGAAAGTAAATGTCAGGATGCAATGCTATTTTGAATTACCAAACATTGCCACCATGTGTTCACTTCAAAGACTATCAGGCCGCCTGAAAACATCTAGATGATAAGTATTACAAGATAAAGTAAATCAAATTTGTTGCTCTCTTGTCTAAAATGTTTCTGTAGAATGCAAGTGATGACAACTCCAAAAAGATTTTAACTTTTAGACACTTGTGTTACATTTGTATAAGAACACATGGTTCTGTTTCTAACCCTTCCTACCATCATTGTGGAGAGCACTAAAGAATAACAGAAAGAATGACAGAGAGAAAATAATGGATAAGCTTTGCTTCCACACACATGCCTACCATAGTTCATATTTCATTGCGTTTGTGCAGTGCCACCTCAGTAAACTTCTAGTTCATCTTGATGGTCCCTAGAATGTACCAAGACCCAAAAATGTGCACAGAACTACAAACAAATTATTTCAGAGATTGACTTTTCTTCAAACCTTTATGTGCATGAACATTCAAATAATAAAGACAACAGATTCAGAGGACTTCCTACATTAATTTTTACTAGTTCTAATGTAAGTAACAAAGGATCTCTACTCTTACTTGAAAACTATCCATTCCAATTTGAATTAAGAGCATTTAATTTCTTATTATTTAATACCATCTCTCACCGGGAGACTCCCTTTGGGGTGGAAGACAAGCTGAACAACTGCATCTCGTTACTAAAAAGGTAAAATGATTAGAGATGCTCTTCTCATTTAGATGGGATATTCAAGAAGATGAGAAGGAATTCCAATGACTTAGCAAAAAAAGATGGATACCTGATTTTCTTCCATGCTTTCAAAACTTCTGTCATAAATTCTTTGAGTTGGGATGCCTAACATTAACTTGTAAGATCAGGAAGTATTAGCAACAAATTCTAAGCTATTTTTAATTAACATATATGCACATACACATATAAATTGATTAACTGACTCAGAAGAACTGGCTGAAGAACCATCACTCCCTCCATCAGCATTATCCTGGTAAACAAAATATTTCACTCACGTTCCTGAGAGGATGCTGCAGATTCCACATCTATGTCTGTATAGATTCATTGAAAGAATACTAGCTCCAGGAAAATAGAGCACTCGGGGATTAATGACAATTAAAACATGCAAAGTAATGCTTGGATGAAATACCACACTAGCAAGAAAACATTTTCTGGGTACAATTCTAGATATTTGAAATTTCAAGAATGAAAGAATTCTGAAAAAAGACTGAACAACGAATTGAATGTCTAATGGAAACTATGCAGTTTTGGACAGCTCAGAATGAATTCCCTTTAGGACAACAGAAATCAGAACACTTGCATTTAAATGTTACCTGTTTTGTCATCATTACTCGTGTGTGTACCCACTGGGTTTCTTTGGTTATTCCAAGCTTCTTTTGCTCTCAGGAATACTGAGCTTTCAGAGTCTCAAGATTTTTTCTAATATCTTAAAAATCAGTGACTCCAAACAGATGGCAAAGGTGAACAACTGAAGTGGAGAAGTCACTTCAAGTAACTGATAAAGCACAAACCCCATGATCTTTACCATGTCTCTTGCCATTTGCTCTCCAATGTGTATTGTAGAATACACACTTATTCTGTGGCTCTGTTCTGCAAGTCCTTTAACAGCAGGAAGAAACCATAAGCCCCACATACAGCTCTGCTGGTAAATGACAGCATTAGGTCAGAATAAATTGGATTGTCCCAGTCTGTTGCAGATTTGTTTAACAATAGGTGGTAGCAGCGTTCCCACCAAAGAGATTCAGAGGTAGGAAAACAAACTGGAAAAGGATCTTTGACAAAATTGCCAGAAGACCATCATGTCTCTTACTGTAGATCTAAAGCAGCAAATCATATCTATAGCACTAATTCCAGGAGAAACTGCCAGTGTGCTCCATCTTAGGTAAAAGAATATGAAAAGAAGAGCATGCAAGATAATTTTAGCAAAGTTTAAATACGGGAACAAAAGGAGAACTTATGTTGTTGAAAACATACAGCTGTGGTCTGCAAGGTGCTTTTCAGTACATGAACATACTTTCAAAAGGAGAAAGCATGTACTTTTAAACCATGACTGTGGTTTAATTGCTTCATCTCTTTCTTTAAAGCTTAAATATTTTTTTTGCCTTACAATACTTATCACCCACCCCCTTATAATATTTATCACCATCAAATCAATTGTTGTCATAAATGTCACTACCAAGCTACCCTTAGCAGAAGTTAATGTCTGAGCAAAGTCAATGGGTACAAAATAAGCCTTCAAAAATATAATTAGGATTAACTCAGGTGTTAGAAAATGCTGACATTTCAGACTGTGGCTCATAGACTGCATTTGATACATTATTCTCTATTTCTAGTTTTAACCTTTTTTATCTAGTTCACACCTTGTCACATCATTCAGCTCCATAGTAACAAAAACCCCTTGAAAAGTGTCATAGTTAAATTTCAAACACACACAATATATTGCAAGAGTAGCATAAAGGAAACAATATGATCTTAGTTTATATTCATCCCCCACACCATATAAACCAAACTAGTCATTCTCTCACTGTGATTTCCAGTCAAGAAACATTGCGAAGAATTTTACTGAAATGTAACTTGAATCTCTAATCCTTTGTAGAGCCAAACATTCTCCAGACATTACCCTCTGGTTTTACTCTCCATAGGAGAAGGCAAATGGATAAAGATTGGTGGCCTTCTGTGAATCTGTTCTTTAACGATGAATTCCTTTGAAATTCTATTCTTTGTGGATGAGAAAGGGGAAGAATTTATTTGGAAAAAATAAATTATGCAAATTAATGTTGTGTGCAACAAGAGGATAACTTTTTGAACCACAATAAATATGTGTCTGTTAGTGTGTGCATATGAGTGCTCATATTTAATCTGCATGAAATTAACTCACTAACTAGATATGTACTGGGAATGAGCAGATGAAATGAAACAAAAACACCCCCACATATTGTGCAAAAGTTATTCCATCCTGCCTGCTTTAAATCCTGGTATATAAACAACTGGTTACTGTGTTATCAGCTCTACCTCAGTGCAAGATCTGACTGTTTTAACTAATAACAACAACCACAGCTGCCAATGAGCAATACTTTATGTTAAATGTTCATCATTTCTTCATCTGATGATCACAGTGTCTGACATTATTTCCAGTATATTTCAAAGTAAAAAATTACTTTCAGGATTTAAAATTTTCCAGAGCTTTTATTCACATTTTTTTCTTTGATATTTTCAGTATAATAGAAAACCACAAACAAAAAAAATCAAGCTACAAAACACATAATACATTTAAAGTAGAACTTGTATCATCCTGATTTAGCTCACAGTAAATCTTTTACACTGGATTTGGCAAACAGTCCATTCTTTGGAAGCTTGGTCATTCAACTCCAGCCTCAACCGCCGCCATCTAACAAAAAGAGTAAATTTTGCATCCAAAATTTGACAATGACTGATGAAGTTTGTCTTTGAATTAGATTTGTCAAATGTGAGGACTCCAGAACTCTTAAAATATACCTATGTCCAAATAATCTTAAACCCATTTAATTTATGTGGCTAGCTGCATTAACATTAGCTTTCTGTCATGGATTTTCCTTATTTTTATCAAAGCCTTGTTTGTCAGCTCTGTGGTTTCATCCCATTTGTTTTTCTCGAGGCTTGTGTATGTCACCAAGTTCTCCGTATACTGCAAAAGTGACTTCAAAAACCTATGAAAAATAAAACCAAAGAAGAAAAACTCATTACAGGATTAAAAAAAAAAAAAAAAAAGAAAAAGAAAGAAAGAAAAATATCTCAATGCCTGGTGTAAAGCTGCTACTGACTCCATATTAAATTTCCAAATCTGCCTCAAGGTGATCAATGCATTAAGGTTTCTTCTTCTGGAAGAGAACCACTCCCTCATTCTCACAGTGAGAAGCGATGATTCTCAGAACTACAATTAAACATGCCACAGAAAGAATATGGTGATAAAATGTGTGATAGAATTTTTCCCAAGTGGCTTCCTTTCCTTCCTCAGTCAAATATTTCACAATGTCTGTGACATTCAGCCAGCTGTTAATTGACACACAAGGAGTAAAATTACCAACATATTGAATACAGCTTTTACATATTAATATTTTTTGAGGGTGTGATCGTTCTCTATCTATACTAAGGAAGAGTCTAATAAAAATTAAAAATGTGAATAACTGGACCATATATTTTCAACTGAGTGAACACTGTCTAAGATATAATTATGGCTATAATGATAGAAAGAAGGATGACAATGTACTAAAAGTCATGCTGTTCCTTTTTATGTTTTTCTCTACAGGATTTATGTTACAGATCAAAAAAGAATGTGTACAACTTCCTATTTTCATAAAATAAATCTTATCTACTCACTTTAGATACTGCTGATAATCAAACTGATTCTTCTTACAAACCAAATGAACATTGACTAGTTCCAGAGTAATCATCACTAAAATGAGTCGCAACACCGGAGACAAAAATTTAATGCTAGAAATAAGCAAAAATATTTTTAAATAAACAAACTAAACCCAAAATAAATAGAAATTATTAATATAAAAAATTCTTCAGACTTCTGCATACATCCTAGATAGCTGGATATTGCATAGGTGTGGCCGAAGACTATGAAATGTCCTTCAGCAAAGAGCAGAACAAATATCAAAACTATAAACAAAGACTATAAAGTATGAAACCTCAAAATGAGGAAAAGGAGAAACACAGATAGTTAGGCTTCCAAAGGAAACCTCACCAGCATCCATTACTCCATAAAGTACCGTTCAACTGAATTGCAAATATATATCGTCAGTTGTCAGTTTAAGCTATGTTTCTGAAATAATATTGTTAATATTTTTAGGAACACAACCTGGCCGAGAATGAAATATTCACAGTTTTCCTACAGTTTTTAAAGTATATCACAAATCCCTGAAAAGCACTTCTGAATAGGAACAAAATGAATGGAATACTAAAAAAATCTCACTTCTATCTATAAAGATGCTGACTGATAAAAAGCAACTAACGATAAAAAGCAGCATAACTAAAGTGAGTAGTGTCTTGAAATCAGTCTAACCTATTGCATTCAGATAAAACTTAAATAGTATTTATATGCTTAAATAGGAAAAGCTAGCAACTAAAAAATACAATGTAACATTTAAATGAGACTTTTATTTGAAATCTTATAATTTACAGTGAAGTAATGTAGCAATGCTAAAAATACTCATTATTCTCCAATTTTAGATTTTCTTGCTATTTCAATATTACTACATAATAGAAGTCTGGGTTGGCAACTCTGAAATGATTAACAAGAACACTAGAACACTGTTGACTTTAAACGTCTAAGACAAACCACTGAAAACCAGCAACAGCAGCATGCAGCCACTTTCTCATAAACCTAACCACAAAGTAAAGAAAAAACACCAGCCAACCTGCTCAACATCCGTAGATAGTTATGCCTCTGCCGAGAACGTAGATTCCTGTTCATCCACCGTTTGTATCTCAACTCAGTGCTGGCAATAACTTGTTCAGACACTTGATGGCACTGTGCGCTTATTTTACGGAGTATCGCCAGTATTTCCAGAACAGGCCTGGGAGAATAAAGCGTGCAAACACGCGTCTCACAAAGTTCAATCAACAGCCTGCAAAACAGGAAGGAACTGTTAACTTCAATCTTTTGTTAGCTGGATTTGACATGAGATACATTTCATGTTTGGTGTGCTTTGATTCACAATGTTTTAACTCAGAAAACCTGGAAACACATTACCCTGACCTCATGACTGAAGAAAGCAAGGATCTATAGTAGGGGTAGATTGTGTTCTCTATGACTTAACTGAGTATAAATGCAAAACTGCTGGTGATGAATACATTTTCCATTTCAGATCAAAGAAATACAACCACAATAATCAAAACTGCCTGGCTGAAATGATACACTGAACACATCAAATCACAGCAGGGTTGTGGTTGAAGCCTTCCCACCATAGTTCAGTTCACAGTAAATTAACATCCACCATAATAAAACTCACTCAAACAAATGGTATTAATTAGCACTCCCACTAGTGTGTGGTCTTTCTTCCTGGCAGAACAACAAGCAGACTTAATATTAAAAGGCAGGTGGTGAGGCCAGTGTTTTAATTACCACCACACCAGATCATGATTTGTTAAAGCACCCAAATATCTTTCTGCTGTCATAGAATCACAGACTGGTTTGGTTTGGAAGGGACCTTAAAGATCATCTAGTCCAATCCCCCTGCCATGGGCAGGGACACCTTCCACTAGACCAGGTTGCTCAAAGCCCCGTCCAACCTGGCCTGAACACTGCCAGGGAGGGGGAAGCTTCTCTCAGCAATTTGTTTCAGTATTGCACCACCCTCAAAGGAAAGAATTTCTTCCTTATATCTAATCTAAATCTGTCCTCTTTCAGTTTAAAACCATTACTCCTTGTTCTATCACTACACTCCCTGTTATACTCTGATCTGGTAACCTAATGTGTTATCACTTTAACACACTGTTCTTATAAAAATGTTTCCTAATCTCCCCCATGCTCAAATTTCTCCGAGACAGCAAAACATTAATGACTAAAAGTGATACAGGCAGAAAACTCTAAAAATGGTTTAACACTTTAGTAATTATGCTTCTTTTTCATAAATGAGAAAAGAGCAGATTGGTGAGTAGAAAACAGAAGGCACACAGCCTACGTAAGTAAAGCAACAGGTAAAATCCACTTGCACTCTCTTGCCCATGCTGACTGGGTTTGATCAGGAGAGTTTTGTTCCAAACTATTCATTCAGTCATGGGACTCTTAAGACTGCTATAAGAGTGCTAATTGAAAGTCAATGAGCATGTCATGTTTTGATCATTATTTCAAGTAGATATAAGAGGAACTAACACACCTCCAAGTCTGACAAGAAGTATAACAAGATACCTTCTATTTTGGAATCTTGATAGTAAAGCATGTAAGAATAGAATTATGTAGCAGCATATTAGTATTTAAATGCCATGCATAGCTGTGACACCAAGCACATTAAAACGAAATTCTGATGCAGTTTTAGCACACAAACTAGATTAAAGTCAATTTGACCTACTCAGTACATAAATATTTAAAACATTTTGCTTCTCCAGTCTGAAAGAAATACAGTTATTTTTTTCATACTACTTTCCAAGTAAAATCTTTACTGTAATAATGTCCCATATCTACAATGTCTCATCTTCATTTGAAAATTATATTCAGCTGCATTCTTAAGATTTTTAGATTAAACCAGCAGCAGCATTAGAAAAGTGTATTAAACATTTCAAGCACTGCTCTAAAAATGGAAATGAGTAACTCAGGTTTGAGAATTCTTGTGTTGGGCTGCATGTAGAAGCTGACAGCAGGAACTGGGAGGATATCACACTCACCTCTCTGTTAGAACACTATTGACTGGATCATCTGAACTATAGCAATTATGGGGTATATATTGCTGCAACTGCGATAAAATTTCAGATATCACCGAGATTAAAGTACTAGCTTCAGCATTTCCTTCCAACCTTAAAAACAAAAGAAAAAAAAAAGATTTGAGATGGTAAAACTGTGTAGCACTTGCTCTTTCTCAAATGGCGTAGATCAAGATGCAGACTTTTTGGATAACACTGTTTTCAATGTCCACTCTCACTCTCTGACATGATGGTTCTTTTTCCTTCACCTTATATAAGCATGATTTTCTTTCTCCAACTAAAGTCAACCTTCTCTCAGTCTCAACAGTCTTCTGAACCTCCTTAACCCTCCATTCATCAAAATTCTGCAGCACACTATGTCCTAGATGCATTGAATTTTCAGCTCTCAGCTCTAAACAAGTACAATCTCCTCCAGTGATATTAATGATTTTCTCCTTCTCAAATAACAAGAGAATGTTACATTCTTTTTTAAAGTAATATCTCATGTAAAGTCTTCCACTGATTTGGTCGCCAAGCCCTTTTCAGAATAAGTAATTATTTTGTTTTACATCTGGTGAGCCATCTTTTTTTTTTTTTTAATTGTAATGAAGTCAAGCTCTAGTTTAACTTACTAACAGCCTCTTCAGCATCTCTTCAGAAGTAGAATATGGAGTCACTAAGACTTCTGTAAATTTGTCTTCTCATTCCCTTCAAGTTAGGGAACTGTTTATAGTTTTTATAGTATCTGTACTGATGTGTATAGCACAGATTAAGCTAAAAAGAACAAATGGGTCTTCTCATAACCACTCTGGTGTCTATCATCTTACTAGTAATGTATTTGAAGAGACATTTCACCATCTCAAATTCTGTTCTTCATAACTATTTTGAGAACTCTTTTTTTAATAGCATATACATACCCTTTAATTGTTTGAACGTGTTCCTCAGGCACTACTGGCAATTCAGGCCATAAGTGAATGCTCTTCATACATTCCAGCACCTCAAAAATGTTATCATGAAAAATGTTATGTAAAGTGTAGCCTTGGGACAGGACAACATATTTTACTCTTCTTAGTGGCTATTTTAGAAAAAACTGCAATGGGTGGGAAGTTTCTTGTTCAGTAGTCATAAGTATGTAAGTTGACATAAATTGTTAAGGTTTGTCAGGGCAAAAATTCCTGATGTACATGTAAAATATCATCTGAGTAAACTAATCTACTATTCTTTCTTACTTTTTTTTTTTTTATATGAAAAATTAACTACATGACTTTTCTAACATATGGTTTGAATGCTGTTGAAAATCAAAAGTACTAAGTATGTCTACAGCAATCTCAAATCAATCGAGGAACGTTTTCAAGCAGTTCAGTAATTCATAAACTGATCATCAGAGAACTACCACAACACTTGAAAGCAGATTTTGATACAACAATGGAATCTTAATCAGCTGGCTTCATACTATAAAAACCTTAGTTATAGCCTAATCCAAGATTCCTAGAAACATGACCAAAGTATTCCTGACACAAGAAAGCATAAGGAGATTAAGAAAACTACAGAACAGCAAACATCCAGGTAAGGATAAAGCTATGCAGTGATCTAGAGCACAAACACAGCACCAACTGAATCAACAGAAGTGTGCTTAACTACATCTCATTTTAGTAGCTGTAAATTCTGAAAGATAAAACTAAAAAGCTCATTAAAATTACGTCAAATTTTAACTTTTTATGAAAGTCATAGCATGAAGACAACAATTATCCCAATTATAATGATTCACAATTTTAAGGACCAAAATGCTTTCACAGCTGGAAGTACCTACCTGTTTCTTGAGTCGGGAAATTGGATGAAATTGAGAACGGTAGCAACTTGCACAGTTCATCAGTGGTTTTATGACCATGTGTTCCTGATTTACAAAATCATAGACAATACACAACAGTTTCTTTAAACTGTCCTAATCATATGCAGACCTAGACTTAATTTTATGCAAGCCACCTATAATACTGAAGTCAATAAAGACTTCCAAATGTCTGAGGGCTGAAAGCAGTAATCAGCACAGTGAGTGTTTAAAGCTTAATTTCTTTGACACATTTTAACTATGAAACCTGACAGCAACTGACAGAAAAGCAATCAAGTATTCTCTTAATGCAGCATCATGCAATGTATCTTGAGAAACTAAAAAGAGCTGCAACTAATAAATGGAAGATTTATCTTACAGGTTGCTGTATGATATTGAAAGAAGTAATCCCAAATATAAACAGGAAATTGGGGGGAGCAAATATAATAATTGCTAATTATAAACATGTATTGCTAGACAGGAAGTGTTCACAAATTCACAGTGTAGAGTGCAGACACAAATCACACCTCCGTTAGTGAGCCAACATAAATGTGTCCCAGAGAAAGAAAATCTCAAATACTACATACCTCAGTGGCTGAGCTACAGCTGTTCTACATATCTTTCAGATAATTTAGCAGATAAACAGGCTAGGTATTGATACAGTTTGACAAATAAAATGAATTTCACTTATTCACCACAAAACTAGAAGAAAAGTACTTTCACAATCTTTTACTTGGAGGAACACTTCATTTCCACAAAAATCTGCTGTCAAGAAAGTGAGACTCTCTAAAGTCGGATTTAGCATCCAAAACAACTGAAAAAAATCTTCTGAGAGTATAATATTGAACTCTACCTTAAAAGCAAACACATCCTCATCTGAGAATCTGCAGAGAAGAGTAATTGCAAATGCAACTATCTGATTAGCTACTTCTCTAGGAAATGCTTCTAGATTGATCTCTCCATGGCTTAAACGATCTCTTATACGTGGACCCTCCTGGTGGTTCAAGAAATCCCAAAGTAATTCCTGTGGAAACATACACCAAGTGTATAGAATTCTCTGTGTATTCACACAGAATAGAAGCAATATGTACTCACATAGAATAGAATATATTCAGTGTATAGAATACTTCTGAAAGTTAAGTATGTGATCATGTCTATAGGAAAGGGGCATTTACATGGTCAGAAAAAACAAAAAAAAAAAAAAAAAAAAAAGGGCAACATCCATCTTCTATTTTGTGAGAGGTAACAACAGATTTCCTTCAGCTTTGTGTCCCATGCTGTCCATAGCCCTACTACCTCTGGCAACAGGATAATCAACTCAGGTGTCCCCTACAGTCTCAAAAGGCCTCTAAATTCAACACCTCTAGTTTTCATGTTCACTATCTGTTTGGGTGGCAAGATGCAGGACATGCTGTTGGTAGGTTTGCAGCTACGTTTTTGTGCCATCTACCCAGGTAGTGTAAGATGCATCCCAGAAGCAATCAGAAATAGTTTTAATTTTCCCTGAGGCATCAATTTTCCTTCTGCTCCACTCAGCTGATTTTCAGAAGTCTGAAGACAAATATCCCCGAGACTTCTGTATTTCAGAAAGAAAGACAGTCTTATATCCTAACCCAATATAGCTTGTCAGGTACTGCTTTGTATCCTTCAAAATGAAAAAGGGTAACGAGCTTTTGTTTCAAGTTTCACAGCTGCTGGAGATAAGCTATGTGAAATAAGTGAGTATTAGGCATGATAATAAATATATTACTAAATATGAAAACAAACAAAACCAAGGAAAAAATCCCACAAAACACGTGCCATTGAAGGTTCCTCAAGAACTGCAGGAAGCTGGTTGACTTCTTCATTATCCAAATGTTTTGCTAGCATCTAGAAAAAAGTAATTTGAATGGAAACTTATTATTTAAAGTAAAACAATCGAAGACAAAATACCAACAGAAGCAATTAGTTTCCCTAACTTTAAGCAATTACTTCTGCCACTCAAAAATCAAGGTGCCTAATTATTACTGACAGATTAAGAATTCAGATTAAGAAGAGAGTTGCAAACCCCAAAGATTTCTGCCTATAATGTTTATTTGTATTTATTTTGAATAACTGAATCTAGGAAAATGACAGAATGTTTGTTTTTGTGAGATGAAGAATTTCAAGATAAAAACATTGTGAATAAATTAAAGTCTATTTATTAGAAGTTGTATTAATTTTTATATTTTCTGGGGGATTCCAAATTTAAAATGTTTACTGTTCACCATCTTGTATTTGGAAAAAAATTAGAAACAATGTCTTATCCAACAAAAGAAAGTGCTTTCTGGTCTCTAGTAATGGGAAACATGCATGTACTTAAATTCTGACATTGACAGATATATATATATATATATATATATGTATGTATATAAAAAAATAAAAATCACAAATACCTCATCGAAAGTGGTGTAGAGAGCAGAAGGCTAGAACAAAGGACAATATTATTTGATTTTCAAACGAAAACAATTAACTCGACACATATACCAAATTTGTATTTATTCATTTGCATGACATACCAGAGGTGCATGAATAGCAAAATAACCACAAACCCTTACAAATGAAAAAAAGGACTTTTGCATTTTGTGTCAAATTTTTAAAAATAAGTATAACATGATCTACTTTCCATCCTAAACTACTGTTCCTGAACACTAATGTTCAAGTACTTTCAGACCTCTTCTATTGGCAGACTTCTTTACAAAAAAAAAAATAAGGCATTCATGAAACCCTACTGGAGATTTGTGAACAACGTTCCACCATTGATCGAAAATTTTTGGGGATAATCTATAACTGTTTAGAAGCTATGCTTTTAGAATAACTATTCTGCAAATATTGCTAGCATTAAATCATAATTGACTTTAGACAGAAATTTTACCTCAGCTGTTAGCAATCGATTTGGACATTTATTAGTCGTAGTGAAGAGCAATCTAAGTCCAACTTCCAGCTGAGGAAGTAAGAGAATCACACAGTCAGCATACCTGAAAAAAATAACAAAGATATCCAAAGGGGTTTTCTCCCCTTATATAATCCAGATGGAAATTAGAGCCATCTCAGTGTTACACTCTCAGGCTAAACAACCCAGACCAAAATTCTTTTGTAATGCACTTTGTAAACAAATAATAAGTGACTCCCTGTGCCCAACAGAAGCTGATCACAGAATTCAAACCAGCTAACTAAAAGGTGGAGCATGGGAGAGGAAAACAAAACACTGTATTTTATTTTTTTTTTTAATTAAAAATGTTAACATCTGAAGATTCGTTTCCACTTGCTTTGTAAAACTATCCATTTTGGCTACATCTGCAATAGCTCTTTTAGGTTTCAAAACATAGTTTATAATCCTAGTTGGCACAAAATTAGTCAAAAATTATTATAAAAAATAATTTTACAAAAAATTATTACAAAAGTAGTAAGACTACAAACTTTCTGAGACCACCATAACAATGCATAACTATATGCTGCTAAGCAACAGGTTTAGCAAAAAGCTTTGGAATCTACAAATGCTGCTATTATTCTATAAATATAGAATATATTCTTTTTATATTCTATTAAAAAAAACATTTAAATGATCAACAGTTACCTGCTTTGCTTGAATGCTGTTAAAGCAGACATCCAAAATGGTATCATTGTTTGTAATACAAAACTGGACAGTTTTACTAGCTCTTCAGCTATGGAAAGTGCTTCATGACTAAGATCTGCAAGTTAGCAGAAAACCTCATTGATTTACTAAATCATTCTTAATATTTCACTCAAAATACAAGATTATTTCAGCATTTGTAAAGGAAGACTTAAAAGTTATCCAATTTATTTTAACTATACAAGTACAATGGTAGTCATATATAAGATCAGAAATTGAATTTGTAAGATTGCATTTTTAGTTATAATATAAAATTACACAACAAAACCAGTTTAAAAGTCATGGATGCTTTTTACTGAGATTAAAAGCCTACACAGCAACTGGACCCAGCTTCTCAGTTGAGTTGCTCTCCACCTACTTCAAATACTTAAAAAAAGCGTAATGTATATTAATCATTTTAATTCAGTAAGAATCAGTGCAGCAGTATGAACACTTGAACATAAGCACATTGTTCTTATTTATCAATTTTCCACACTGACATTTAGCATAATAAATTAACACTTCATACTTCAATGCTACCATATAATGAAACTCACACTTATGAATTCACATTATAAATATCTTATCCAAGCTTAAAATGGCAAGTGCAACTTGATTGCAATAGGTGTTTTTTCTAAGCAAATCAAGAGCTATAGGGTTTACACTACATGATGACTGGAATGCTATCAGCTTGAGTTGTTTCCCGAAAGCCAGGTCTCAATTCCGTGCACAGATGTTCTACAGCAAACCGACCACATAGCACAAACTGACCATGACCACCACTGACACCAAGATTCCCCATATGCTCTTTTTGCTTTAAAAATAGTAGGAGTAAACCAAATGAGGTCTGTAGCCAGAGAGATTAGAGGATTTTAATCTGACACTTCAGGTCCTTCCCTGAGAAAGGCATTAGTGTACTGAAGATGTGTCACCATCCTTTACTGTTTCAACACTACCTTCCCTGTAAGATGTAGGGCACTTCTGCTGGGACACTTACAGCTGGATCCCACTGATTCTAGAAAGAATTAGATTTTCTAAAGGCAAACAAGATGACAGTTGCATTAAATGAACTCTCATCATCAAAAAACTGGAACATACAGTTGAAGTCTTTCAGAAGCAGTAATGTTAGACGTTCCAGTATGTTACAATTATTTTAGAATGCAGTATTTTTAGGTTCAATAGAGAGTGGAACTGCCTACATATTAAAAAGCTGCCCTACAAGCATGACTGATTCATCTAATGACAGCGTATACAGGTACCTTAGTTATGATCCAGTGTTAGAACTGTGGAAAACCACTTCTGGACAATGAAACAATAGCAAATATATATAATAAAAACTTGCTAATACTTGCCTGGAAATACATCAAGCTCCTCAGAGCTAACGAAGATCACATAAGGTCGATGTACTAAAACGCATTTAGTTTGCAGAAGATACATCTGTAACAACTGACCCAATCCTGCAGTTAAAAAAAGCAGCATAGCACAATATCTAGGGAGAATACCAACATATATTAGAAAAGCTTATACAAATAAATCTTTTGCAAAGAATCAACATCTGCGGGTTGGGGACAAAGGGCTTTTTTGATCTTTCAAATAACATCTAAAATCTATGCTCCCCATCTCTTTTGAATAGGGGCACTTCATAATTAATTGCACTCACAAACATGAAAAAAACAATGCAGAATTAGGAAAAAAAGCATCGGTGTATTCTACATTGGCTGCTGTTGCCCCTCCTCTTACTCCATTCCTCTGCCTTTTGTTAAGTGTAATTCCTGACTGCCCTGACAGACAAGGAATCAGGTTTCAAAACAATAACTTAAGCTTTCTTGCTTAATGCACTGGTCCTAAAACTCATTACTTTTATAGTGGCCCAAGTATTCTATGGAAATCCCTTTCTAAAAGAAGCAGCAGCAGAGGAAAACTGTCAGGATAATGCCAGAGGCCTTCGGACATTTTTTTTTTATTATTATTTTTTTCAATAAGAGCCATAAGTTTTACTAATGGCTTTTCAAGCATTCTCAGGTCTGACTGGTAAGAAAATGAGATTCTTTTTGGTAACTTACTTTGCAGGAATTTCTTGTGGGGATGCAAACCCATGCCACAACACATTACGAAGATTCAGACCATATGGAGATCCAATGAATATCCTCAGTACATCCATCTAATTAATAAATAAAGTGATTACTGCATGAAGAAATCTATTATTTATTACCTTGAATCTTTCCCTGGGGAAATTTCAGAAGTTATTTAGAAACTACAATATCTAATTGTGAAGATGACTGGTCACAGCTTGTCACATTAACAGTAACTCATTATTTGCAATTCCCAGTATTCTCTGAAAGGAAAGCTTTCAGTTTACTTGTATATGCTACAGAGTATAATATGGGAAGAACAAAACTAGTTATCAGACATTCCAGTTATGATAGGCAAACAAATGCAATCAACCTTAGCACTTAGTTCTTGCAGCATAAATTCACCAATAATAACAATAAAAATGAACATAAAATACAGAATCTTATTCAAAGCTGTATTTCCAGATCACTATCTCACAAAAAGGGAAACTTTGTTTTTACTTTTTAACTCTAAGAATTTAAGTACTCCACATGCCATCAAAATTCAGGAAATCATCCGTATAACACTACTGGACTGACTAGCAATACAAGCTTCTACAGTTCACATGCAATATTCTGTCCTAACAAAGAATTTATGTTTGTAAAACTGTATGAGAAAGACCAGCTACTTTGTTTACACGACTGTAAATGTAATCAGAATTTTGTTATTATTATTCTTTTGCACACGGGGATGAATGAATTAGTTTCCTCTGTTTTGAGAAATTCAAGTGTTGGTAACATTATAAAGCATCTTACTACAGTGGTGGTGAAGGGGAACACAGCTCATCAGAAACAGCCAGTGCAGGATGTGTATTTTCAAGTAGTACAATTCAGAAAGAAGCAGACAAGTCTGCAGCTTGCTCACCCCCTTGACAGATACATGGAATTTTACGTATGTAGGTTTTTCATGCAGAAAAGCAAATAAGAACTTATGAGCGTGCCTTTAAATATATTTCCTTTTACAATATTCACTGGTTTTGGCATGTATCCCCCAGACTGTAACATGTATAAAATGAAAGTTTTCCCAATATATTACAAAATTTGCAAACTCTTCTCCAGTGCAAGCAAAGGCTATGCTTTGAAACGGGCCATTTAGTGAGAAGAAAATCAGTTCAGTATTTGTTGCATATTTCAAAGCTATGCACTTACTACAGCTTGTCCAAAGACAACTGCAAGCTGCTCAGAAGCAAGCAAGTCTCTTAGAAGGAAGGGGCAATCTTTACCGATCAGTAAATATACCTGTTAAAAAAAAAAGCAAACCGGACAACATAAGTAATTCAGTATACTTATTTCTATTTCAAACATACAATTTGACTATTTCACCCAGTAAGCATTTTCATTATTGTAAAAACACTAATCAAACAAAACCCACCAAATCCTTAAAAAGGCTTTAAATTCTGTAATTTCACGACAAATTAAAATTTATGGCACAGATCAGGAAAGAGTGGATATCCTACTTAATGCTCCCATAGTTAAGCTTTTCACAGTGTCTGTATACTTACTGCTCTTCTTTGCAAAAGAGGAAACAAAAACCCCAAAAAGTAAAGCACAACAAGAACACATAATTAAGGGAATAAACTCTAACCAGGACACCATACTTGATTCTTACCCTAGAAGTCTATAGGGCCTGTCATTGTCAAAGGAAAAAGATTTGGGGTTTGTCTTCTGATTCTGGTTGTTCCTTAAACTAGATTATATCCTAGTTGGGCAATCTCAGCATCTTTAGTCTCCACCACTATAAAGCCTTCCATTCTTTGTATCCTCTCTGATGGTTTTTTTCCAGTTTCGATAATTTTTCATTACTTCAGAATTTACCACCGCCCATACTTGGGTAAACTGGTTTGTCAATGTGTGAATTCGCCTGTTGTTCTTTCTCTGGCATCTACTTCTCCAGGGCTCCTCATAGAGATTTAATAACCACCTATTTTATCTTATCTGGGGACAATATACCTCAGCAGCAAAGCCTCTTAAAACAGCTGTTGCTCCCTTCTAACTTGCACATACCATAAGTACTAGTGGCACCTGTTTGTGTAGTCATGCAGTGAAGGAGATCAAGGAACTGATCCAGATAAAAGACAAAAAACGGGGTAGGGGTAAAAGGTGGAAAGGAACCTGGACCAGTTCATCAATCTGTCTTGCTACTAGGCCTTCAAATACTTGAACTCACATAACATATAGAACACCAGCAAACATGGCTGTGAAGATTGACTGAATAAACTTATACAGTGCCATCACCAAATGCTGAATCATAGCCTAATTCACATTCCATCAAAAAGGATCCAAAATACAAGTTCCTTAATATGGTCAGAATTTCTAACTCTAAGTCATATCTCATACCCTTGCCTCACTCTGGTCATGGAAATCCTGCAGTATTCCTCTTTAAATTGACCAAGAGTGCATACCTTTACTAACTATTATAGGTAAAGGAAAGAGGGAATATGTTAACAGGACAAATGTTCAGGACCACAAGATGGATCCCAGATCTATCCAGCTGATCAGTTAGGTCAAGAATTTAAGCTGACTTCTAGATGTTTTTGCAGCACAAGACTTGTGTCGAAACATTTAAACAGATGTACACTTTGCAAACAGAGCTCTGAGGAAAGAAGTTATCTAGTCACCCATTTCCAGCTGTATGCTCCTGCATCTCCTCACAGACACTACACCTCATCAGATCTTCTATGGAAGGTATGCTGCTCCATGTTTTAGTTAAATAAATCAGAGTAGCAACGACCTGCTATATGTACACTGATTATGCAAACTTTGCTATTTTTTCATGAAACTGGTTAGTAACAGCAGTCACACAGGCAATTCTACCAGCACAGGTGAAGAAACCCCAGATGATGGTTCCATTTGCACAGCTGGATGCAGAAAATAACATCTGTCCAACTCAAAATGCAGCTGGGCTATTAGTGTACTACTACACTACAGGGTAATCTCACTTTTACAACCTGTAATTAAATCCAAGAGCTCATTCCCATTTTACAAAACCAAATCTGCAATAGACTCTCCATGCTAGCACTTACATCACCCAAGGCTCGCTCCAAGCATGACGTTAATTTCATTAAGGCAAGAGCAACTCCGGTAGTTTGTGTATGTTGTAGAACATCAAATACTTCAACAAATAACTGTATGAGGGGGAAGAGGAAGAATGTTGTCTTAAATATTCAGAAAGACGAATCAAATTGTCAAAAGCACTGAGAAACCTAAATATTCCTCTGTGATGGTCACTATGCAAATATAGAAAGAAAATCATGACATCCTTCCAGATGCCTGGAAAGAAACTGCCCTAGAGCACCTCTTGTATTTTTAGTTGCAATGTATCTAGGGCCTTATATCTACAAAAATTATCAACAATAACTTACTTGATATTAAGCACAGAGTATTAGAAAAACAAAATCCTACCATCTTAGGTCAGAAGAGGCCCAAAGCACCTCATGTTCTCTTTGTGATAACTTATATAAAATCTAATTACAAAGTCAGGAAAATTAGAAGCAACTATGTATCAGATAGGGACAATTAGTTACAAATTCCAAGTATTTTAGTTCATTGATACCTCTTGTGTGTCTTTACATTAAACCTCCACAAAGGGTTCATGTGCCAAAACACAAATTGTCAACAGACATTTCCATACCTCTGTGCAGTTTGTCCAGTGGAACCATAATGCATACTGAATTACAAATTTCTCCTTGGTCAGAGATTTGAAGTGCAAATTAACAGATTCACACACAGGTCCTAATGATCGTATGCTTTTGATATAATCCACGCTTTGATCTTAAATCAAAAACCAGAAGATGATTAGAATACCAAACTTCCTGAAGGTCCAATATTTTAAAACTCACAAGGAGTAAAACCTGCTACAGCTTGTGTACATATTTATCACAGAGAATTTTATCCAGACTATTTTAGCATACGTAATACACTACAGTTTATTATCCTAAAGACCACACACGTAAGATATAGAAAAGTGCAGTGTGAAACCAAATAAGATCAAGTACCTTCTCCAAATAAAAAAAAACCCACACCTTAATGCAAGAAAACATGAAAAACAAGAGGATTATTATGTTCTGGGTTTGTTGAAATGGGAAGAACCTACCAGAGTATACAAATTCCACATAATCAAGCTGGAAGTTAGTGTTAGGTGTTGGAAGTGCAAGGAAGGGAAAACAGTAAGAAATCTGCAAAAACATACATTTTCCTTGACACAGAGTCCCCAAAATCACAGTCCAGTGATTTGTGTTTGATGTGGTGCTAAGGAGGAATGCGAAGCAGGGTGCAAGCTGCGCAGTCCCATTCTTTCACTTCAAGGACAGATCTATCTCCTGTTCTACTTGTTTCTCTCAAAGTATGATTTTTTGTAGCAACCTTCCAACTCTGTGCCTCATCCTCCCTTTTTTCCCACACAACCCAGCTGCACCCCTCACACCAAGTCAACCTTGCTTCTTGTCCTCCCTCTTTTTCCCACAAAAACCAGCTGTACCCCTTGGCACCACGAAATGAATGATGTCATTACTCAAAAAATAATGATTTGACTACAGTCCCACTCACTCACCCATACCTACTAAGATAAACTGTACCCCAAGTTTGGACCTAACTTAAAGGGAAGATAATCCGACACCAAATCAGAGGGATGGATCGATCGGTTTGGGCTCTCGCCCCCTCCCCCCAGAAGGGATGTCTTTTGGTAAGATTTCCTTGGCTATGCTGAGTGTACCCAGGAACTGTGTGTGTGATTGCAATTTTTTTTTCTTTTGTGTAATGCTATATAGCACTATATTGCAATAATTTTTCTTTTGTGTAGTGCTATATAGCCAACTTGCAGTTTATGCATTTATGGTAGGCAATCTTAAAGAATCTGTAGATGCTGCATGAAAATAAATCATACTGTTCATGAATCTGACTGCTTCTCTTGAATGCAACCAGACTTACAGTGTATGGGCTGTTTGGGCTGGGTCAGACCTATACTGATGGCCACTAATCCGCACTATTTGTGAATCTGAGGGCTTCTTTTGACAACAACCAGACCTACAGCATAGGGGCTGTTCGGGTGTCTGGGTCTGACCTATAGTTATGACCCCAATTGGCATACCTATTAACGGATAAATCCAGCTGCCTCTGGTCCCTCTAATCTCTAAGGACCAGCTAGAATGCAAGGGGATTTATCTCTTACCAAATTTATTCTCACCCTAAATGCAACAGTTAGTGCAGGCTCAGAGGGATCAGTCAAGCTGCACCACTTACACCCTTTAAAGAACGGATATGGATATGGTACCTTACAGAGTGGTATCACTGCTCCTCTTTGGTGGAACACTTTTATAGGAAAATAAATTTCAAATTTATTTGAATATAGGAAATAAAGGAAAATAAATTCTCATTTACTCTAAGGTACTGCTTGAGGCAGAAACATATATAATTTTTAAGATCTCTGGAAATTAATAACAGAGCTTGCATGATGATTCAACAAGTTAATCAGGGCATAAATACTTAGTTTTGGTTAAAAAACCAATTATAATCTGTTCTACATACAGAAGGGAAACCAAACAGTACTTCTGTACATGCTAAAGTTGGGGAAACAAAACCAGAAGCAACAGTAGGAATACTGATAGCCTCAATGTTTTAAATTTACTGCAAAAGGGATGTAAACAACACAGAAGAAAGCAACGATAAGGTAGGAGAGAAGCAGAACTGAACCCCATATATACAGGCACATGAAGGTAGGAACCAAGATTAATGTGGAAGCAAAGGAGCAGCTACTTATGTAACAGATTACATGAATCTTAGGAGCCAGTAATAACCAAATACCAAATGTAGATGAAAAATTTAAAGCTCCTTGCACATATAAACTGGACATACTCTAATCTGCAGCAAAGCTAATGCTGTATTGTAATAAAATGTTGTAACTAAGCTGTACTTGCTATGAACTACACTGAGATTCTGCATCAGTCTTAAATATATCACTACTATAGGAAGTAAACACCAACCTGATTCAAGGTAACACACGTGCTCTGTAAGAGCTTGCCAACATACTTCACCATTTTCAGATAAAATATTATTAATATCATAGGCGTCTTTCTTCTCAAATCCAAGTTTGCAAATCACATAATGCACAGGTGGAGAAAGACAAGTAGTGACAGTGTGTGACGACGCCATCTAGAACACATCCACACACACACACAGAAAAAGAGTCCTTGCATTAAGAAAGTACATGAGAACAAAGAAAATTATTATTAAAGCGTACCCATAAGCACAGATATACAAATAGAATGCAGCACCTGTAAACAAGTTGTTGAGGTTTGCCATGCAACTTTCATCTAAGCATATTATGAAAAGAACCCTCCAGAGCAGAACTACTTTGTGGAAAACTGAGGGGAAGAATTGCTCTGTTTGCATAATGCCAGGATGGTATATTTCTGAATGGTCCTATCTACTGAACCAATGCCAATAGAGTTATATATATGTAACTGTTCTGTCTAATCTCCGAGTTTGCAAGGAAACTGATGCTACTTCAAGTGAAACCAAGTGTTTCAGCCCTTATGACCAGCAAATCATTGCGGGGAGAGGGGGGAGGTGGGAAAGTGTAAGGTATGTGTAAATTTTGTATGAACTGGTAGTAATGGTAGAACAATTTAAGCATAAATGTTATTTGAACATTAGTCTAAACAGAAAGATGGACTGATTCAGAAGCACGCATTTAACTTACAGAATTTGCCAAGATAGACCTGCTCATGCTATCAAGAAGGAAAATTCTGCTGATTTAGTAAAAAAAGTCATGGTGCCTCATTAATCAAACAGAAGACACACAAACTGTTTGAAAATGAAGTATTACAACAACTACTAAGAGATTCCATTAAATTCAAAACGTTGTTTTCCTCTTTAATTAGGTAGTGGAACTGACCCTCACAGTACATAATTTCTGAATTCAGGCCTTTGAGGAGAGACTACATATTTATATGGGTAACAGCACAGAGCAGGTATGGCAGCTGTTAACTGCCACCAGGAGTATCCTATCTGCTATTAAAAAAAACAAAACCCACCTAAAATGTTAATTAAACATATAATTCAGCCCTTCACCTTATTTGAGGCCCCCCACGTTTCACTGTCATATACAGAAGGCCAGTGTAGAACTTGGACTACCACAGCCGCCCCTTATCGCCTGAAGCACACCCGGCAGGTCAAGGGCAGGTCGCTGGAGCTTTCAGGGCCTGTACCGTGACCAAGAGCCGAGTTTCCCCGGGGGACAGCGCCGCGCCACCCAGGCACGGCAGGCCCGCCCCGCCGCCCTCTGGCCGCAGCACCCGCATTTCCCCGGGGCCCCGCAACCACGCGGGAAGCGAGGGCGGCAGCAACC